CGTGCAGGTGCACCAGCTGCCCGCGGGGAGCGCCGGAGCGCAGAAGCCGAGTGAGTGGGGCGCGCCTCGGGCCGGGGGGTGAGGTGGGCGGCCCGCGCCCGCGCTTCTCTCAGCGGCCAGAGTTGTGGGCGTGCGGTCCTTCTCTAAGCCGGGAGCAAAGCTCCCGAGTGGACCCGCACAGCAGGGGTCAGCGGTGGCGCAGAAACGCGCGGGGCCCGGGTGGGTTTTCGCGCTTCGCGCCTGAGGCAGCCCGGACCTGCCCTCGATCCTGCGCCCAGCTGGGGTCGAGTCCGACAGGACGGGCCTCCCCGCAGGTTAACCGCGCGGAGGGGGGGCAGCATCATCGGTTTCTGCGCAGGTTTTCATTTGCCCGTTTTAGAACAGCCGCTCCGACTTCGTGAGCCTTTGGAGAACCCAGTTACCTTGTTCTCCGCGGCAGCCGCTTACATTTGCAAGCGGTTTAAAGGGTGCTTTTCAGTTGCACACCCGGGGGGGGATTTCCATAGGGATTAGGTCACCTACTGTGGCTCCGATTTTACAGGTGGGGGGAAAGCAAATGGCCACACCCCTACTCTTAAAAATGTTGCCCCTCTGTTGAGTGAAGAAAATGGTGTTTTGTGGGTTTTTAAAAATATATCTTTATTGATTTCAGAGAGAGGAAAGGAGAGGGAGAGAGAGATAGAAACATCAATGATGAGAGTCATTGACTGGCTGCCTCCTGCACGCCCCCTGCTGGGGATCCTGCCTGCAACCCAGGCGTGTGCCCCGGCGCGGGCGGCGGGGATCGGACCCTGGTCGCCTGGATCCTAGGTCGGTGCTCAATCTCTGAGCCAGCCTGGCCGGGCCAAAACGGTCTTCTGGTTCGTTTTGCTTTTCACCTGAGCGAAGTGGAACATCTTTTCTTTTTTTTCTATTGGACATTTGCATTCCTTTTTGGTGAACTTCCGGTTCTTATATTTGTCTCTTTAAAAAGTGAGTTTTTCTTACTCATTTGAGAGAGGTGTGTAAATATTAAGTAAGAATAGCCCTTTGTTGGTCGTATAGGCTGTAATGTTTTTCTCACCTTGAGTTCAGTTGGTGTTATTTTAGTCTGCATCATCAGTCTTTTAAGGATGATTATGGATTTTATGTGATGTTAGAAAGCTATATCCACACCAAGTTTCTTTGAATGCACTCATCTTTATAGAAATTTTAACCTTTCATTTTTAAAGTTAAAATTTTTGATAGGTATGGCTATTATTTAGATTAAGAAGTGAGGCAAAGAATATAGATTTGTTTGTTTTCTCCTGAAGGCCACCCGGATGTCACAATACCATCTATTTGAATAACCCTTCTATTTTTCAACTGATTTGAAATTCTGAGTCTCTAAAAATCCTTAGTCTTTTTAAGCCATTTCTTCTTTATTACCAAACTGGTTTTGATTCTCCTAGCATTTGTAATATAAAGTGGTTTGTGCTTGGAGATTTTACATGAGTAGTTTCTATTTTCTGTTTTGTTATATCTAAAAAGTGAAAAGTCCCAAATCTACTGTGCCCTACTTTAATTTTTGTGATGAAACTAAATGAGATGAGTAAATGGTAACTAGTAGACAATTTTAAATCTCTTAACGTTTAGAAAGGGTAAATATGCAGTAAAGCAATAAAAAAATTTTTAACAGCATCCTCTTTAAAATAGTTCCTCAAATACAATTTCAAGAATATAGGACTTGGTGTCTCTGTGAAGCAGTCAGGAGGGGTTTATTATTGTTATTTAGTTTGTTTTTGGAATGGGTATATCTCAGAATATACAATATATTTGCTGCTACAATGAGTTATGTTGTCCAAAAATTGTTATGTTTTCTTACAGACTTTTTCATTGCTGTCCCTTCAGATTTAGCTTCTCCATATCAACTTATTAAGCGGGAATCAAATTTTGATTCGCTATTTTAAAGATATATTCAATATAAAACAAAGTATGAATCAGTGCTTTACTAAATTAAAAAAAAATCCATTGTCAATTTGTCTGCTTTCTGTACTTGAATTTTCTTAAAAACAAGTTCATGTTAAGTCAAAGGTTGTCTAGTTGAAAATTTTTTCCAGTTGTTTTAAGTGTATTATAATGAAATCAGTGGGTAATAATCAGAGTGATGATAGTACCTGGTTGGATTTGCTCTGCAGAGTGCATTAAGTTGGGGAAAAAAATGAAGATACATTCTGTGGACCAAGGAGCAGAGCACATGCTGATTCTATCCTCAGGTGGAAAACCATTTGAGTACAACTATAGCATAGAACATGAAAGGTAGGAAACTTTTTTTTAATTAAAAATTATTTAATTTTTACTTAAAAGACAATCAATTCTTGTAGTAAAATATTACTTTATATGATCCTTGTCCCCTGCTTTATATAATGGCATTTTAAGTAAACAATGAATTCAGAACTGACCAGTGAATCCCGTGAGTAAACTACAAACCAATTTATGTTGCCTAGGGCACTTATCATGTATTGCTTTGACATTCAAAGGAAATGATTGGTTAGTCTGCCTAGCCCAAAATTGGACTTTCACATTCATTAACTCATAATAATCTTATAAGTTAGATTTCTAGAATAAAAGTTTTCAACCAAGGGAAAAAAATACATTATAATGGAATGATTTGTGATACTTTCTCCTAGTAGATCATGTGAATTAGAACTTACTTTCATCGTGTATTATCCCTGCATCATAAAATTACTGTTTGCAAAAGTCTTAGAGTCATCTTATTACAATTATATAATGCACATTATTTTACTTTTAAACCACTAATCAAAACGTATATCGTATTTTTATAATAGTGTTAGATTTACTGAATGTGAAGCAGTAAATTATAAATTTTTCTCTTGAGCTTCAATCCTAATTAAATATAGTTAATAATTCTAACATTAATGTGACTTTTATTCATATGGTGATGACATAAAATATATTTTCTTTCATCAGGCCTCAGTGTATTTTACAGGAAAAAACTATAATTCAGATCACATGTGGAGATTATCATTCTCTTGCACTCTCAAAAGGTACTTTTCTGGAATATTAATTGTTTTTTTAGAGGGAATAAATGTGTGTATATATAGAATAGAATGTATATGCTTCACCTTGTAACAGGACAGAAATACGGTTTTGTATTTGATATGGTTCGGAGTACTATTTTTTTTAAATCTTCACCCAAGGATATTTTTTCCATTGCTTTTTCAGAGAGTGTAAGGGGGGGAAAGAGAGAGAGAAACATTGATGTGAGAGAGACACATCGATTGGTTGCTGAGAGGCACATGCCCTTGGCCAAAATCAAACCCAGGACCCTTCAGTCCAAGGGCCGATGCTCTAACCACTGAGCAAAACCAGCCAGGGTGGAGAACACTATTCTTAAAGGAGATACAAAATTAGAGAATTCTTGGGCTTACAAAAATTTTCAGGTTTCCATAATTACTATTCCTACCTTTCATTCTGTCAGATGACAAAATTAAAACAGTTTAGTAATGAGTTTGATGTCCTTTATTCAAGGGAAAAATGATCCATGAATTGGGGAGAAAAGTGCCGCATATGCCGTGGAGCCTTCTTCCGAGGAATTTTGGGCACAGCAAGTTTTATAGAGCATTAGAAGACCAAACTTGGAAATGGCATGATTGCTTGAGGTTGCAAATCTAACATTATTTAGAAAAGTCAAGGAACAAGGAAATAAGTATAAAGCCCAGAGTTGGCTTGATGTTTGGGGATTGGCTGAACGGATATACTGCATTTCTGGCCAAATGGAGCATTTAAAGAAACAAGAAAATTTGGTTGACATGGCACCCCAGGCAGGAGTGGCTCCATCTTGGACCTAGAGATTTATTTCAGTAGTTTCATGTTTTTATTTTTCAAATATGAAACAATGAAAATATTTTGAATAGTCAAAATCATTCTGTCTGGAATAAGGACCAGCATGGGCCACCCTTTTCTAGAACCTTCCCTTTCAGCGATCTTCCAACTCCCATTGCAGGAGCTCAGAATCCTTGGCTCTGCTTCTGTAGCCAGTTTGCAGGCCCCTGATGTGTTTTCACATTACCTTTTGGCCCTGCTGGGCGTGGCTCAGCGGTTAAGCGTCGACCTAGGATCCAGGTGATCATGGTTCGATTCCCGGTCAGGGCACATGCCAGGGTTGTGGGCTCGATCAGTGATTCTCTCATCATTGATGTTTCTATCTCTCTCTCTCCCTCTCCTTTTCTCTCTCTGAAATCAATAAAGATATATTTAAAAAACAACAACAACAAAAAAACATTACCTTTTGAATTCAGGGATTCTCCCTAGCCCTTTATTATTTCCTATTTCTTATCTGACACTGTAACAGATTATTTCCTAAAGAAACTTGACCGTGGAGGAATAATTAAGACAGAAGGGTGATAGAGAGGAATTCAGAGTCGAACATTTTTTTAATGTATAGGATAGACATAAACATAAACGGAATGGAAGCTGGGATTTAAGGATTTAAGGGAAGTAAATAATCAAGTATTTGACCTGTCCTGAAGGCCCTGTGAAAGTTTGAGAGAATGAACTTGTATTGAAAAAAGTGCCTGATTGTTTGACTTCATCCGTTCAGGAACGAATAATTTCATTTTGAATATCTTCCATGTTCAGGATATGAAAACGAAGCAAACACGCTGCACCATCAAGAACCCCAGGGTCTAGTGATGTGGGGGAAAAGGGATGTTCAGGGTTATTACTGATAAAACACGTGGGAGAAAGAGAAGCTGATGAAACAGAAATGGAACTGCATGCGTTCTGCGCACCATTACATTCCTGGCGGCTGCAAGGCCCATGATAATTATGTTTGAAGGAGAGGCTCTGCCGCCAGAGCTTGCACAGTATCTTGCAAAGAGGTGTTAAGTAAGCGTTAGTTCTCTGATATATCCTTTCAGACACAGGCAGGGAAAAAGAGTAATTTTAGGTTTTTATCCAAATGTAGAATGTTTTTGTTTTTCATAGGCTTATCCTGTGGGTTTTTTAAAATAAGTATTTCTTGAACTTAATTACGATATGTTCAGATAGCCTCGTTCTACCTGTCTTTGTCTGCTTCTGTAACAAAAATACCATAAATTGCATGGCTTGAAAGGCTTGACACAGCTCTCGATGCTGGAAGTGTAATTCATGGTGCCAACAGATTTGGTGTCTGGTGAAGGGCCATCTTCTTATATGGTGGAGAGTGTAAGAGAGCTCTCTGGGGTCTATTTTATAAGGACCCTAATCCCACCCTCATGATCTCATCTAATCCTAATCACCTCCCAAAGGCCCTACCCCCTAATATCATCACTTTGAGGATTAGGATTTCAAGATATGAATTTTGGGAGGGACACAAACAGTCAATTCATAACACTACCCTTTGAGATAGGAGGTAAGAAAGTATCACTGTTACTGCTAAAAAGAGTCTTCTAGTTTTTCCGATTCAGACATATGGGATCTAACAAATCCTGTCAGTTTGAATGTAAGAGATTGTGATAGTGTAACATGAATTGCGTATATAATGCTATAGGGTAATGTCTGCTGCATTTTAAATTTAATAAGATCATGAGATAGCATTTTCTTTCCGTCAAGGTGGTGAGCTTTTTGCATGGGGACAGAACTTACACGGCCAGCTTGGACTTGGAAGAATACTTGGCTCAACCCCCACACCGCGGATTGTGGAGCACCTCTCAGGAGTCCCCTTGGCTCAGATTTCTGCAGGAAAAGCCCACAGCATGGCTTTATCCATGTCCGGAAACATTTACTCATGGGGGAGAAATGATTTTGGACAACTAGGCCTGGGCCACACCGACAGTATGGAAACATATTTTGAAATTCATATTATCAACAGATACATTTGTTAGATAAGTGATGAAATTAACACAGACCTCCCTTTTAAAAATGGTCCAAGTCCTCACTTTTCATTGTTCTTCAGGACAGAATCAGTTTAAAAGACATGCGTAGTGTGGAAGTCCTTGCTGGAACTGAGACACATGGCAGGGCCATGTGGAAAAGGGAAAGAGTGTCAGACTGGGGATTGGAACACCGGGATTGTGATTCCCACTTCACAGTTAACTGCAGGGCCTGACCCAGTTACTTACAGCTTTTCTCTAGGACTTTTTCATTTTCTGTAAAGTGACGAGTTTGGATGAAATGATCTTCAAGGTACATGTGCACTTAAGTTTCTATTAATATAATTATAACAAAAAGATACTAAAATCCTATCTTAGAAACCCATACAATCATATTCTATGAACTGTTAATTACATTTGTACACACACATGAAAGTGTGGGCAATAAAACATGTACAGTAATTCCCATTATTGAACTACTACCTCCACAAAGTAGATGGCAGAGGTTCTTATTGTCCCAAACACCTTGTTAGAGTTTTCAAGTGTAACAGACTCCGTTGATTTATCAACTCTGGTAATGTACATATTATTTCCTAAGTTGCTGGTCAAACACTGCATTTCTCCTTGATGTGGTCCCCTGCTAATTCCTCAGGAGAATCCATAAGTCAACGTTAGAAAAATGTTCAAAGGAAGCAAAGGAATAAAGGGCAGTTAAACTATTTTTGCTGAATCTCTTAAGTGCCTTGACAAGAAAATCGTGAAAGGAAGAAGAGGTAGAGTGATGCAAGGGGACCATGGTAGAGAATTTAAGAGAAAAAAAATATATATGTTCATTAAAAAGAATTCTCAGTGGGAATTGGAAATATCAGATATCCTGCAATTAAAGTTAATGAGGCCTGCAATTAAAGTTAAAAAGAGAAGAATGGGCTCTGGGAAGTGGCTTGATACTTTCACAGGTGAGTACCCCCAGATGTGGTCCTTTGACCATTGCCCCAGCCTTCAGCCTAAATACGCCAACACAGAGCCTTTCTTGTCAGAATGTGTTGGGAACTGTTGCTGCTAGGCTGAGAGGAAGTAAGTAGTCCAGGTATTTTACCAATAGCACAGAGCCCTAGTGTGAAATTCAGCATTTCCTTTTGGTCACTTCAACTGTTCTTTCCCTTGACTAGATGAAGAGTTTCCTTCCCTTATTGAAGCACTGGACAATCAGAAAGTTGAATTTCTTGCTTGTGGTGGCTCTCACACTGCCCTGCTCACTAAGGTGTGTGTCCCTTTGTCTCCTCGACTGTAATTTTGGAAGAACACTTTGCAGTGGGAAAAACACTAGAACATTCGGGTGTGGGCAGTTAGTGTTTCCCAGGGAAAAAGGTTCATCGTTTTCCACAAGCTAGGACCGTCTTCCTAATAATTGGGGGTTTTGCTTTGACAGTGCTTTATAATTATTCACCGTCGTATTTCTCTAGAATCTGATATGAAGTTCCCTTTCCTTAGGATGGGCTCCTGTTTACTTTTGGTGCTGGAAAATATGGGCAGCTTGGTCACAATTCAACACAGAATGAGTTAAAGCCCTGTTTGGTGACTGAGCTCGTTGGGAAAAGAGTGACCCAGATAGCATGTGGAAGGTAAGTTGTAAAGTGTCGATCGAAGCTGACAAAATCAATACAATAAGTTTAGGTAGGTAGTTTAATAAAATTTCCATCAGTTTCATTGATTGAGATAAAAGTATTAAACATTTTCAAATGGGTGAAGATGCTTAATTTACATTATTAGATAATCATAATCTTTATTTAGTATACATATTTCTTTTCGTTGATTTTTTAAAAAATGAACAAATACATTTACTTTCTGAAACCCCTTCAGTGAAATACCATTGTAACTATTCAAATGCACTTTGTCTTTGAGAAAAATGTCATCATTTATTGGGGAAAAATAAAATACACTAACAAAATAGAAACAGACTCATAGATAGAGAACAAACTGGCAGCTGTCAGAGGTGAAGGGTTTGCTGGGCAGGGTGAAAAAGGTGAAGGTGTTAAGCAAAAAAACCCCAGCACCCCATAGACATTATGGTGATTACCAGAGGGAAGGGGTGCGGGGAGGTAGCAGAGGGTATAGGGGGATAAATGGTGATGGAAGGAGACTTGACTTGGAGTGGTGAACATACAATATACAGATGATGTATTAATAGAATTGTACACCTGAAGCCTATATACTTTTATTAACAATGTCACCCCAGTGTATTCAATAAAAAATAAATAAGCATGAATCACAAAGGATTATTCATTGATGTAATCATAATCACTCTTTCTCACAACCCCTCAGGGGCCATCATACTTAATTACCATAATTCTTTCAAAGTGATCGCAGTAAAGTAGAAGACAAAGTCATTGGTGGTTTGAGCAAAATATTCTTGAGAAGTTTTATTTTCACAGCTTTTTTTTTTTTTTTTTTTAAACATAGAAAAACTTTCTCAAACTCCTTGGTTCACTTAATTGTTTTCTTCCTTGACCATCAGTTAAGCCACTTCTCACCAGTGAGATGTTGGGTCTTGGAATTAAATATTTTCACCCAGATACACCTGTTCTTTTGGGCAGTTATTTTTCTCTCACTAAACACAAGCAAATTCAGACTCTACTGAATATTGAGTTCCTTTGTTTGTTTACTGATCCTTTGCTATGAAAAACTGGTGTTATTTACTTTTAGTCCATAGAAATTGGCTCTGTGACCTCAGAGTAAAATTATATAAATGAATATTATTAAGGTGGACCAGATTATTGGGATGGCATAACTCTCTGCATTCGATAATGTCTCATTATTGAAAGAAACTATTATCACATTGGATCTTTCATAACACACATTCCTTTGTGTAACATGTGTTACAAGAGTAGACATCACATTAGAGATGTCTTAATGCAAACCAGGGCAGTACCCCTCTTAGCACAGGAAGATTCACTGGAAAGACCCACAGAACTCACTGAAAATTATTATACTCATGGTCACATTTATTACAAGAGGAAGACACAAATTAAAACCAAAGGAAGAGATGCATAGGACAGAGCCTCGGAGGGATCCAAATGAGGAGCTTCAGGCATCTGCTCCCCTTGACAGTGTTACCCCCTCCCAGCCTGATACATGACAATGTGTAGAGTTTTGCCAACCAGCGAAGCTCACCCAAGTCCAAAGTTGTTATTGAGGTTTCATCACTTATTCCTGATTGATTGAATCATTGTCTAGGTTGTCGAATTCAAAGTCCAGCCTCTGCTTTCCCTCCCTGTAGGTTTGCCTTACATGCGGCCAGAGGGGCCCTCCATGAGCCACCTGGGTGAAGGGACTTGCCGTGAATAATAAAGGCACACCTATCACTTGGGAAATGTTAAGGGTTTAGAGGTTACCTCCCGGGCACTGAGGACAAAGGCTGCACTTCCATTTGAGCAAGGCCAGATTCTATATAGTGGTAGAGACCGTTGAGCAAAGTTGTAAGAAAATCGGTGTGATAAAGGTCTTTGGGAAATAGAGTGGGAACTCGGAGGATCACCTAATTCCGTTTTCTAGGATAGGGAGTGGAGGGGCTCAGAGGTGGCTTCCAAGAGATGGTGACTCTCAAGCCAAGGCTTAAAAAAAGGAGTAGAAGGCAAAGGGAGACGTTTGTTCCTGATGAAGGGAACACCAGTTGCCAAGGTGCAGCATCATGGTCTTGAGTGGACTTAGGGGTTCCAGAGTCATCTCAACCACACATTAATGATTTCTTAGTTTCCAGGGAGCTCATTTCATGCCTTTGGGAGTTGGTTAGCTAGTTTCACTCACTCGGTGACCTAATTTTGGCAGTTGATTGCATTGCTGCGAACTCTCACTGTGGATAATTGAGAATTGACCATATGTGCTTTTATTTAATAGGCGGCACACACTGGCCTATGTTTCCGATTTGGGGAAGGTCTTTTCTTTTGGCTCTGGAAAAGAAGGACAACTGGGAAACCATGGAGCACATAATCAGCTGATACCACTTCCCATGAAATTGCCATCGAATGAAGAACTCACAGTCGGTAAATTCTATAGAAGCACAGGAATTGGCGTGAATACCTTTGTCTAGAAACTGCAGTGTGGTCAGGAAAGAAATGTATACCTGTGAAGGGAGTTTCTTTAAACATTGGTTTCATTTTTTAAGTACAAGCAATTTAAAATATCCAGTATAATTTATCAAGTCAAAATAACCATTAGTTTTATCCCTTCAGATTAAGATTAATGTGGTTTTAAAATGATACAACATAAAGTAGACTATATGGATTCAGAAGCATATGCAGCCTCTGACTCCAGTTTGCAGGGGGCCTGTTAATTTCATGGTGATTGGTTTTCTTACTTGGTTAAATTGACTCATAACCATGTAAAACCCTCAAAATGAGAGCAGCTGACGTATGTGAGGTAACTGTGCTGAACACTTAGTATGTGTTACCTCACCTATCCTTAAATAGTTCAGGGAGATGCATACTCTCAGTCCCATTTTACTGTAGGATGCAGAGACGAGAGTGAAGGGTTAGTGAGGTCTCACAGCCAGTAAGTGGTTTGGCTAAATTTGAACTGTGTGTCCTGTGTAACCTCAGAGCCTGAGCTCTGAAACCGTCTACTCTAGAAGTGCCTTGGAGCACTTTGGTTACTGTTTCTGAAAGTTTAGTGGTGATCTAAAGTACCAGAATTCTCTCAGTTCTCCTGGGAAAATGAACAGTAGAGTTATTTCCTTAAGTAGTTCATATATTTGATTTCTTCTAACAACTTACATAGACTTTTGAAATAACTTATGTACATTCCTCACAGCCAGTAGTCATTGGTCAAATCTTGAGTTGTAGAATATAGTTTTTTAGTAATAGGAGCCAAATTACACCAAGGAACAGTTAGCAAATCAAATAGTTGTTTGACTGTGTTATATATAAAAGCATTTATATTAGGTATATTAAACTGATGGCACATAATCAACCTTGTGAATCGCCTGTTTGCCAACTAGACTTGAGCCTGAAGTAGATGTAGATTTCTGCTTTATAGATAGTAAATATGTTGAGTCTTTGCCTATCAGAAAGCTAAAAGGACTAAGTTTAAAAAGAATCTGAAATTAAAGAGTGTGCATGTTTGTATCAAATGACATTCTAAACTCTTTCTTTCCGTATATCCCTTTCAGAAAGCCATACCTCAGAAAAGGAGTTAATAATAATTGCTGGAGGGAATCAAAGCATTTTGCTCTGGATAAAAAAAGAGGTAAAAATAGATCCCTAGATGTTCTATAACTTCTTATGTTAAGCAAAACAAACAGTTCCAGAATCCAAGTTCAGTGAATTCCAAAGTCATTGGGTAACTAAGCTGACTTTTGGGGATTTGGTCAAACATTGGTCCTTTATTGTCTAAACTACATAAATATTTACCCACAAAAATCAGATTCGTCCCTGGTGAATGTTGAATCGGAGAGATTTCTTTAGGTTCTTCTTACCTTTGGGAGGCTCCCTGCCAATGACATTTGGTCCTAGAGAGCCAGTGGTTGACATTCTAATCTAGTTCTGCCAACCAGTATTAAAACAGATCGATGTTCATAGGCTTTTGAATAATGTCCTCACCCTCCTTCACCAAGGCAAATGGAGTTCCTCCCACTTCTACACACAGCCATTTCAGGATTTTTCCTTCCCCTCAAAGCTGTGTGATATTGTTCATTTTAATCCAGTTATACCTGTATAAAGTGCTGAGTGTTGGCACACTCAGAGAAATTTACTTTGGATCTAAATTTGTATTCAAATTGGCAAGAAATTGGCAATCAGGAAATGATTGATTACTTCTTGGTAGAATCTCACTTTATAATTTCCCGGAGCTATATTATTCATATTTAAAAATCTGTTTTACCCATTACCCTTAGAATGTGCCTAAAAGTTGGATACCTATTTCTGTTGTGTCTAAATTATTATATTTTACTTTTTTTGTTTGTTTACAGAGTCCCTATGTTAATCTGAGGAGGAAGATTCCTACACTGAATGAAAGGACTGTAAAGAGGTGGATTGCTGATGTGGGGACAAAGCAGGGGCAAAACACAAAAAGGTATATCTCATGTGTCTCACTGCTTGTATAATTCTCTAAAGCTGTACAATTCTCTAGTTCTGCACAATACAGAGATGTAAGATTTTGTGTTCTACTAATTGGTCCATTAACTAGAGATCTCCAGAGCTCATATGTTTAAGAGCGCTGATAAATAAAAAATTCATAAGGCAGACCAGCAGGGAGACCCAGGGAAGAGTTGATATTGCAGCTGGAGTCCCAAGGCAGTCTGGGGCAGAATTTTCTCTTTTCAGGAGACCTTAACCTTTTTCTCTTAAGGCCTTCAACTGATTGGATGAGGCCCACCCACATTATGGAGAATAATCTGCTTTACTCAAAGTCTGCTGATTTAAGTGTAATCTAATCTAATACCTTTACAGCAACCTCTAGATTGATGTTTGACCAAGTATCTGGGTACCGTTACGTAGCCAAGTTGAAACATAAAATTAACTGTTACAACTAGCATGTAATCTCCACAAAAGCAGCCCTGGCTGGTTTTCTCAGTGGTTAGAGCGTTGGCTTGTGCACCAAAAGGTCTCAGGTTCAATTCCCGGTATAGGGCGTATACCTGGGTTGTAGATTCAGTCCCTGACCCATTCAGGGGTTGTGCAGGAGGCCACCAGAGGCCACCAATCTCTCACATTGTTGTTTCTCTCCTTTTGTTTCCTCTCCCCCCTCCCCCCTCTTCCACTCTCTGAAAATCAGTGGAAAAAATATCCTCGGGTAAGGATTAACAAAAAACAGAAGCAAAAGTCTGCACAAAAGCACTTTTTTTTTTCTTTTTCTTTTTTTTTAAATATATCTTTATTGATTTCAGAGAGAGGAAAGGAGAGGGAGAGAGAGGTAGAAACATCAATGATGAGAGAGTCATTGATCGAGCCCGCAACCTGGGCATGTGCCCTCACTGGGAACCTCCTATTACAGTTGAAGAACTACCATCTATAAAGATTATACTCATTTTTGCAAAAATCTCCTCCTTGGAGATATTTTTAGGTATGGCTTTCTAATTCTGGAAAGTACTTGTACAAAAAATTACAAAATGTTACATAATTTGCAGAGCATAAACGATCAAGAGCTATTTGTGCAATACTACTAAGATGGAACTGAGCATACTCCCCCAACCCCAATTAATTTCTGGTAATTTTTTGGTTTACGCTTCAGTGGAACAGAAATAAATAGGGCTGGGAAAAGTTGGGTGGGTTGAGAGTGTTTTTTTGTCGGAGAAAATACCCTAAGTCAAGATGTCAAGCCTTTTCCTCTTTCCCTGTGGCTCCTCTGAATATATATCCTTTTATTTCCCATGTTAGCCACTGAAAATTTGAGATTTAGCAAATGGAATCAACTTTTAGATGGCAAGCAAACAAAGCAATAGCAAACAAATTGGAGAGAGAGGGAGAAGTGTGAAGAACAATCGTTAAGATGAGGAGGCATACTCCTGATGTGTTTTAACCACTGTCTTATTCCTAATATAGGGAAATCAAAGAGATATTTTCGTCTCCTGCTTGTCTGACTGGAAGTTTTGTAAGGGAAAGGTAATATATATAATTTATAAAGTTCTGTTAAAAATACTGTGTACAGCATGGTGACTATGGTTGATAATACTGTATTGTGTATTTGAAAGTTGCTAAGAGAGGAGATCTTAAAAGTTAGCACAAGAAAAAAAATTGTAACTGTGTGGTGATGGATGTTAACTAGACTTAATGTGGTGTTCATTTTGTAACATATACCTATACTGACTCATTATGTTATACACCTGAAACTACTATGTTATATGTCAATTATATCTCAATTTTAAAAATAATTTGAAAGATTGTAAAGAACTTGTTTGAGGGTAAGATAATTAGCTATGTGTTTATCTCTTTAAAAATTATTTTTTACAAAAGCAAATATATGAGTGCTATAGAAAATGTCAAAAATACAGATACACAACAACAAAATGAAAATCACCCATAATCCACTATTCTAAGAGTAATAGCTAGTAGCATTTGTGTGTATTTTTTTCTATGTAAATATATTCTTTTACAAAAAAGTGGTATTATATGTTGCTTTATACATTGCTTTACACTTAATATTTGTCCATTTTTCATTTTGTTCAATTTTCATATTCATATTTTTTATAACCCCATTTTAATGGCTGCATGGTATTCCTTGGGAAGGACATACCCTAATTTATTTAAACACTTTCTTGTTGCAAGACGCTAAGATTTCTTTGAATTTTTAAATAGTATGAAGGAAAAACTTTATACTTCTTTTCCTAAATATTTGTATAATTTTAATTTGAAAGAATTTTTCTATTTTCAGATACTAAATATGTGTAGTTTTACAAAGAATTTATTTTTAAACAATGACTATATTGAGTTCACTATAAATGTAATTCATGACTTAAGATACACATCATTAGTAGTTTTTTATTGGAATACTAACAGTTTACTGCTCTGCTCTGAACCCTATTTATGTATTTATTTATTTAAATATGTTTTTATTGATTTCAGAGAAAGGGAGAGAGAGAGAAACATCAATGATGAGAGAGCGTCATTGATCGGCTGCCTCCTGCACATCCCTGCCTTAGGGATGGAGCCCCAACCCGGGCATGTGCCCTGACCAGGAGTTTAACTGTGATCTGGTTAATAGTCAACTCTCATCCACTGAGCCACGCTGGCCGGGCATGAACCCTCTTTTTTTTGATCCCCACTTTCACTTCATGTACCTGGGAGAAATGGCTTCTTTTTTTTTCTTTCCAGAAATTGGAAAAACTTTTTTCTGTGACTGGGTTGTTTTTTTTAACTGGAAAATAAGTATTTATTGATTATTCATTTAAGATAAGATAATATCTGAGTTAAAGTTAGATAGCACATATTGTTAATGCAGCCTTGATGTTGTTGGCATTTTAGAAATAATCATGTTGTCAACTATTTTTAATTGTATTTGTATTCAGCCAAATTATTATAGTTATTGTAAAGTTGAGGGGGAAATGTAATTTTATTGAAATGAAAGCAAGCTTTAGAAAAATTTTTTCATCTGGATAGGTACTCTAATAAAATATTAAATTTTGAATTGTACGTTTTCATTTAAATTATTCATTTCTTTTAAAAATTTCTCTTTCTTCCACAGAATAGCTGCAGAAGCAGTGTTTATTCATTTGGACTTAAATAAAGCAAGAAACACCTTTAAGGAGTTAACCCAGAAGGACTGGCTTGCTAACATGGTGGTATTCTTCAGATTGTTTGGGAAAGGGGGGATCACAAAAACATTTTTTATAAGAACTCAAAATTTCAGGAGAAATATTTTGTTTTGAGAGATTTCTCTGAGACCCTGTAGTATATCCAGATTAAACTCCAGTAGCACTCAGGTGTTTGCTCACATAAGGTGTGATAATTAGTAGTCATAGAGGTTAAAAATAGTCTAAATAGCTCATGCATACACGTATTCGCACTCGGGACTGTAGGAAGATGATTAGAGGATTTGTTGAGGTTGGCACTAGAATAAGAGCATTTTATTTGTAGTTATTTTAAACATAAGTATAGAAATGAGCACACTTTTTCTGATAGGAACATCCGCATAACCTAGGACCGCCTGGATTCTTCCTCTCTGTTTTTTTCCATTGCCCTTCCTTTTCTGAAGGTTCTAGAATATTCTTGCTCTTTTTGAGATTGTTGCTTCTTTGTTTCAGCACTGTCATTACTGTCTTTAGGTGTCCCACTTGCAGATGTTGCAAACACACTCCCTTTCTCAATTTAGCAGTTCTTAATTCAGCGGGGGTCTTTTGTTTTTTAAATATATCTTTATTGATTTCAGAGAGGAAAGGAGAGGGAGAGAGAGAGAAACATCAATGATGAGAGAGTCATTGATCGAGCCCACAGCCCGGGCATGTGCCCTGACCGGGAATCGAACCCCGATCGCCTGGATCCTAGGTCGACGCTCAACCACTGAGCCACGCCCGGCCGGGCTAATTCAGCATTTTTAAATTTATTTCCCTATTCTGTTGTGCTGGTTGATCGAGGGGTCGTACTGTGTTCT